ATCAATCCTATTTTTCATGTTCGCTGAATATTAAATCCATGTTGCTTTTATTGCATCTATTTAGCATTGCTCCTAATCAATTAATCAATCAATCAATCAATGTTTATTTAGTAGGTGCCCCCCCCTCCTAATGAGGACATTTGTAATACCATGGTGTGGCTATGCCGGTTATGTGACACGAATAAAGATGGCTGTCGACATTACTCCTTCCATGCTTTCGCTGTCTCCACTCGCTCGCTGGTCTTGACAGTCGCCTTGTAAACAATGTGCAGCGTGGAGCCAAATCAGTTGGCACATTCCTTACTGACTACCACCTGCCATTGCACACAGTGATTGGCAACCACCTGCCATTGACACACAGTGATTGGCAACCACCTGTCATTGGCCAGGCTCTTGTTTGATTTAATCCACAATCCAAAATCCATCCTAACATGTGCTGCCTCATGCATACCAAGCAGAGGGCTGCCTAGGAGGTTAAATTGTTCATTATCTGATTATAGGAGAGGAGACACATTGTTGAATCACTAGCAATGATGATACAAGACAGTTAAGGAAAGCATATGATTTTTTGAGGGAGAGAATCATATTTGGCAAAGAATTCTCAAATATATTCTTTATTACAGGCGTGTTACAATCACCCAATTTGGGTAATTTCAACTAAAATGTCACAGCAATTCATTGTCGAATCTACATTTTTAATATTAATAATTCTTTAAATAAATGACACATGAAAAATGATGTGCTGTCATGAAGAGTAATGAACCACTTTATTGTGGTGGCATTCATTTATGAACTTTAATGAAACTTTAGGCAAATATTTTGTGACTGCAGAAAAAGCAGATATGTTATGTTATATTGTTCAGAAATAAACAGTAGATATATATTTAAACAAGGATAAAATCCACATTGCACATTTTGAAAGATGAACTGTGACTGAGAAATGTTTCAAATAACTAGAAAAATAAGAGAAAGTAATATCCTTGATGCAAATCAGTGTTAGCTCTGGATTTATTGTCCGATGTACAGCTCTGGTGGAGTGTTATGAATCAATCAAGCTGTCAAGAAAATGTATGTTACTGCATAGATACAAAGAGACCAGCATCTGACTTCTTCATCTGCATAACAAGGGAGGATGGTGACTTTTTACAGACACAAACCTCAACATTTCTTTGATATAATCCACATGTTTTATTCATTGAGAGCTTACTGGGAGATTTGCGATTTAGCCAAGTGCTGCGTGTTGAACCATTTAGCTCTAAATCCCCCTGAAATATCTGTTATTGTTTGTGTTTTAACAACAATACTATATCCTTTAAGTCTGTTGGCTAATGGGTCTGTCAGGCATAAATGGATTTTAATTAGATTAACCATCTCTCTCCAGTTGTTGGCCAAACTCCTGATTGGACCAGTCGGATTGAGTTATTATGATTAAGCTCAGTGTTTATGGACGGATGATTCTAACCTACCTGAAAATCGATAAAGGACACCTCAAGGACCACTTTCACGAGAAGTAGCCTGAGTTGCATAATAAGGTTTCTTTAGCTTCTTTGCGGTGATTAATTACATTCAGTACTGGTGATAAGCTTGGTCATTTAGTTTGTCTAGATAGGCATACGATGCTTTAACGTCTGTCTCAGATTCAAATATGGCTCATAATCCATAATAACTTTTTTACCTCATAGTTACAAATCTTCTAGACATACAATAACATCAAGCACGTTTTTGTTTGATAAAAACAGTCACACTCTATACCGTTTACATTTGCTGAAGTCTTCCTCAGCATCTGTTTTGTATTATATTGAGCAAGAATGCAGAATAAAAGGGTTCACAGATGGGGAAACACCTCACAGCACATTTGCTCAGATGCAAGTTAATTATTCACCTTTTCATGTGACAGTGCTGCTTTATTCTTGTCTTGTTAAGATAATTCCATAACAGAGGCTTTCGTTTATGGTGATCCAAACTAATTGTAGTAGTCTGTCGTGTCAAAATAACATGACAGGCATGTGCTTGTTGCAATTTGAGAACAACTCAATGAATATTGTATTTTGGTCATATAATGATGGTTTAACATTTCCCTTTTCTGCCATTGCATCAGACAGTTACTCAATCTCATGCACCATGCTTCTCTGGTTACACACCTTTATGAAACGTTACGATGTTTCATTTTCTTTTAATCCATTTCTTTAATGTTTATTATACATTATGTATGTTTCAGATGCTGCATGTGCCTTGTCGTTTTAATTTATAATTGAACACATTTGTAAGTAAACATATTACATGACGAATATAAGGCATTCAGGACACTGTGCAGAAAATGAATTGGTTTATTTGTATTTTATTACATTTAAAAAAAAATGCAGATTTCAATTATACAATTGTTCTAATGAGACTTTTTTCAACTCATTTAAAACTTGATTTACAAATTCAACTTGAGAAATTGCTTTTGATACACCACAACAAATTGCTGAAAGGCGTGCATGTCTTGAAAGCATTTCAGGAGAAAAACTGAAAATTCATCATGACAGCAATGTTAAATGTTACTGATATCCAAAGTTAGACGTTGCATGGAAATACAAAGGTAGTTTATATGTCCAGAGCAACCATGGTTACCAATCAGGTAAAATATTAACCTGCCATCTTTCATTTCACAGCATCAGCAGATGGATTACCGCTTTGTAGAATGAGACGGAAGAGCAGCATCCTTTTAGGAGGCAGATCTCTGAACAAGTCTTACATGGCCAAACCAAAGCTGGTATTTTAAACAGCTTTAAGAAAGATTAACAATACATTACTCCGTTTAAATCTTATTCTTTATTCCTAAAAAAGGAATACAAATCTAGTTGGTGCCTAGAGGATAGAAAGTACATGGATAAAATCATTCCATCACCACATAGACTGTTGTTATCAACAGCATCCATTAAAATAATAAGAAAGCCAGTTAAACCATTAGATTTCTCTTTGTTAAAAAATGAGTATAGAATCAAATTCTATAATACATAAAGATATATACGTTGTGAATGATATGAACTTAACCTTACAATTGCATTAAACATGAAAGATCTTATTTTACTTTAACATATACAGCGTTTTTCCTTCCTTTGATGCCCGAGTCTTTTATTCCTATTTGCAGCCGACATTTGACCAGAGTATCATTTTAAATTGGATTTTTGTTTTAGGTCTAATCTTCTCCTTCGCAGTTAGAGAAGGAATAGGTTATAAATGCTAATGTCATTGCATAAACCAAGATGGAAGTTTGGAATTTGCAAATCACAGCTTACATGGGATCATCGTGGTATACGATGTGGTAAGACTCAACATGTAGGCACTTTATAAAGTATACAATCGTATGTGCACATTCAGCATTTACATCTAATGCGCTTGACACCGAGTGTTTTCACTCTGCTTGGCAAGATTTAAAGCAATTCAAAACTGATCTCTCCAATCCTGCCTGATGGATAGATGTTATGCAGATTGTCAACACTTGCAAACTCAGCACATAAAGTTCCTACTTACGCAAACATCAGCTTGCAATGTCATTATGTTCCTAGAAAAAGTATTTTCCAGGAATGGTTTTTGGGACTTATTTGACATTTCGTCCCCTTGTCCTTCACAACTGCCATTAAAAGCAACAATACCTAGTAATGCTTGTTTGCAAGAAACCATATGTGGCATGATGGTGTGTTTGTAAATATTATATTACACTAAATGGGAGCTTTACAACTTTAAAAAAAAAAAGGGACAGAGGACCGACAACGCCACCTGGGGGCTTGCACCCCAGGACATACACAAAAAGACAATAAAAGGAAATCAGGACACAGGTTCGTTAACTGAGGGGCAGACGCGTTTCAAAAATAAAGTAATTTTTATTTAAATGCAATAAAAAGAAAAGGAAACTCAGGAAATGTTGCAGTAAGATGAAATTGTTGGTTAGAAAAACAAGAACTATTCAGTTGAAAATCATCTTTATTAATGTAAGTACTAATCAAAATATAAGCAAAAACGAAATCAACCAAAATATAGAAAACTAACAAAACCAAACATTGTATGTTAACAGCATAAACAAAACAGCATACACACAAAACAGCAGCAGGTGAACCTAAAAGCAATGGTTAAATGAAGGTTAAAAATGGCTCAACATGTGGCATACAAACAATTCAGGGTCTGCCTTACTCACCATAAGGAAAAGGTTTTGGAACACTACTGTGTTTCAGGACAATCTGAAAGGAAGCAGCGAGCATAAAATACTAGCAGAACTGAGACCAATGTTTCTATCCTAAATAGTAAGTTATTCAGCCTACCTGTACCACCGACCATGACAGCAGAGCCAAAGGAAAGAACAAACGGGCTCAGGTGCGTTTTATACATCACTCTAATGATGGCAGTGTTTGGGGGGAGGAGTCAGGCCTTGAGCTGCATTCAAGTGCAATACTCACTAACACACATATATTATTTAGAAAGGTATATTCTATACCGTATGCCTAATCAAATGTACAACTACATTGTACAGGCTCAATGAAAATCCATTTGATTTAACAATATATTTCAGCTAGGATCTCTTAGACCCCAAACAGAGGCAATTCATAATATTATTTTCCTGGTTTACATAGCATGCTCTCCGTTTGAAAACAAAAACACTAAGCTGTTATAGGGGGCCTCCGTGACAGACGATTGGGGTTAAATGCATGACAAGCATTTTAGGTTAAACATCTACGTTTATTTTGTTGGTTACTCAACAGAGGGTTCGTCAGGATGGTTAACACGAGACAGCTAAAAAGTATGTTCACACAAGGCGGAGAGTAACAGTGGAGTCCCGGCTGAGAAATCACAGAAAGTGCGTAGCTTAAATCACGGGAAGCTGATTAGGCAAATGTGAACAGGTGGGCAGGTAGGCGTGACTGTCACGTGAGGGCAAAAAGCAGGAAACACTGCGGACAAGTGCTTGGTTTGTAGCACGTTCTGAAATGACAAAACGAATTAGTTTGTGGCAAACAGGAAAAGCGATACCAAGCCATATCAACAGCTGCCAAACAATGTGAGTTGTTTTTGGCCCATATATTCACAACATCATCCAGCTGTATATTGGGGTCGTTCGGTGAGGCTCCAGAGAGATTTGGATTAGTTCCATCTCAGTGATATTTAATTCATTTGATGCTGCGAGGAGAATAACAATATGCGAATGACATCAAACGCCTGCACTGCATGATATAACTCATCAGAAGTAATCTAAGAAGATGTGTTTTTAAATCAAAATGTTATTATTTGGAATACATTTGGTTACAGTCGTTGGACATGAACGATTTTGGGGATCCCTTCGTTTGGATAAAACTCTGCAGGACAACTTTGGGTGGCGCCAGAGCGCTAGGAAAGAGGACATGGAGACAAAAAACACATAACGCACGGGTTAATCTGCCGGGAGAACAGCTTTATGGTTTTGGCTGCCATCTGCATCCCGTTAGATGATGTGTGAATCTTTTCAGCGATGGTTGGATTTGACACCTGTCAGAGTCTGAACACCGAGCCGACCTCTCCCACTTTTTCATTGGAAATCGTTAACATTCATGCGCAGGGTCGCCTGCATTGGTGAAATGAACGTGGACAACTTTGGCTGACCGGCTGCTCGAGAGAAAGTGAGCCACATGCATGAACTGAGAGCAGTGAGATTACTAACGGAGTGTAAATCTCGCCTCGCGCTTTGAAGATTAGAGGGTTGACGACGGAGGACACTAAGAAGTGGATTAGGTGCAGTGTAACCTACTTTCTCATCACTCCCACATCTCGTCCTCTGAATATTCGCACAATGACCTTTGGTGCACTTGGAATACAACTTCTGCGTCCGTGAGGTAAGACATATCGTTTTTGTTTGTGAGTTTTAAAGATAAAATGATGTATCTGAAGTTATGTCTCACAGCTAAATCCACTCTGAGAGCATGACAGCTGGTATTGAATGGCATTCTTTATCGCAGCCTGTTACGCGCATGTTCCCTCGCAACCCTTTTGAGTAATATCATTGAAATCTACATCATTGTGGCAGTCATGGTGTTAGTGGACGGTTTTCCTTTTACTTTGCATGTTGTACGGCTTCATTCAGGCAATGCACGGTATTTCACACGCTTAACACGTCTGCCTACTCAAGCGCTCTGAAGAAACAACGCTCCACACGCGTGAAGGGTAATGTGCCCCAATTCAGAGACGATCAATGCTTCAGGGATTTGGGTTGTATGCGTCCCTGCATGTGTGTTGACAGTGTCGAAGCTGCTTTTTAAATGCCTAGAACTACCTTGATCGAGCATCGACAACATATTTCGGTGTGAGCTTCTTTTCTGTGCGAGTGCCACTATTTTTAAAGAACACATTATTTGGATCGTCGAGGACAGTGCCATGATTTTAAGCTCTCACAACGTTACAGCTGCTCCAGATGGGACAGAACAATATCTATTGAATCAAAAACAATATTGAAACTGCATCAGATTAAGTTCATTACAATTTGCAGTAGAATTATAGATCATATTAGAAATAGACCAGAATTGAGTGGTGAATTGATGGCAAATAAAGCTACTTTTATTGCAAAACTAGTAATGCTTTGTCTTGTGCCTTGAACTTCAGCCCATAGAATAACACTGCAAAATAGCAAGCAACTGTAATTCAGATGTATTGTATAAACACAATATCCATGTGATTCGTTTGGTCTAGTCTAGTGACATGCATTAGGAAACCTCCTGTGCAGCAATCACTTCAATGCAGTTTGATTTAAACAACTACCACATTAATCAGGTTTACATTTTCCCAGGGGACTACAGCCAACTCTGATTGCAGACGTGGACACAAATCTTAATTTGCCTGTATTTCTTTGATTTTAGCTTCGTGCAGACTAATGGGTATTCCTCTAGCAGGATCTAATCAATGAGATGGAATATATTAATACTATAGTATGTGCATAGTGCTGCTTACAGTGAGCGTGGCTGAAAAAACAAAAACAAAGACTCTTCCCTCTCCTATCTTCTAGATGTTATGTTATTCTATGTGCACTACAGTTCCCACAAGCTACAGGTTTGGGTAGTGCCCTAGAAGTGTTTAGGGAATACTTTAAAAGCATTGCTACAGGATGTCTTCATCAGTCTACGCTTGGGCCAGTTTTTTTCCCAGTGACTCACATTTGGGAAATGAGGGATGAAGAGTAGCGTGGCTCAGGCCAGCCAGACTCCATTGATATTCTGCCTGAGTCGTGCTCCATAGGCAGCCCATTGTCATGGCCCGCTCAGTGGGATAGCATCGGATGATTGAGGGGTATGGAAAAGGGTTGAACGGCAGCTAGGAAAGAAACTAAAGGTTCATTTGCTGAAGGTTAAAGATATGCTCTCACAGTAAACGCTGACAGTGGCATACAGAAACTGCACAAATGTAATGTCTAGTATGGTATTTAAATGGTTAGTTTATATTCCATGACACCGTAGAACAAGCTCAAACTAATGTGATCGGTTTGTTTTTGTTTACTTTTACTTTCCAATTACATTTTTAAGTAAGATGCATATTTAACAACATTACACCTGACTTGTTCAGTACCCTGGAAGCGCTTTTCATTTTCTCTAATCGTACCATAGATGGCATGAAAATAAAAAAAGGATTTCTAACCAATGCAGGTGCATCCCAAGTTTCAAAGGGTGCAGCTTCTCTTCCGTCAGGTGCAACAGTGCCACACTGTGTGGCCACTCAGCCCGAGAAGATTCATGGCCAGCCAAGCAGAAAGATTTATCTGTCGTGAGTGCGTGAAATTGCAATGCTCTGCAGTCTTCTGTCCGGGGCCGGTGAGAGAGACAGATCCTCTATTGCTTTGGGAAATAAAGAGAGGAATCACACAAACAAGAGGAGCAGGAACTAAAGAATGACTTTGCTCAGGTAAAAGTGACCAAGGGCCCTATGGTGCGTTCACACCGGAGTACTTTTCCCCATAGGTGGCGCGTGAGGCTCAGGTTTGGGAAGGCTAAATAACTTTTTTTTTATCTGACGCTGCCCGCCTCCGGCGTCTATAGAAAAGAGATCAACTCAGTGAAAGCACCGCCTGCTGACCAATCAGAGCTTAGTGTGCGGAGTTTAAATCTATCAAGTCATATTACAGGATAAAGGAAATACAGTTTAAACTGCCGTATGCAGAGAAGACGCAGACGTGTCACACTTATCATTCATATCACACTGATATCACATCATCAATCAGATCATCAATCATATAATATCACAATATTTTCTTATCTGAGTCAGCTTCTCGAGCCGTATCTGGCCGTGCAACACTTATACTTTGTCACATATACTGTATGCAGACGTATTATTTTAAGCAACACATTAAGTTGACGAAACACTCAACTCAAATGTAATTAAAGTCAGATCCCCTCGTGTCTTAGATGGGGCAGTATCATAACACTGTTTTCAAACACTCGGTAGTTTATTTTTTAACGAGTTGTTCTGTATTCTCCTTGCAGGTGCAACTCTGTGGCTCGTATCCTGGATTATATGTTTAAGTCATGGATGTTTAAAGTTCATATTTGTCTAATATTAGTTTACTTTTCATTAATGAAGTATGACGCTGCGCTGTCAGTAGGCTACACTTGTCCCCGTTTGTGATTGGTCAAATGTAGCTAACCCCGCCCCTTTCACGTGAACGCGTTCTCAGCTGGAGAGAGAAACCCTGGCTTGCTTTACCGAGTTGATAACCAGCTTTGTGGACCGCTTAGCGAAATCTCGTTTGTTAGGGTTAGTAAAGATAACTCAAACTACATATCCAGGGTCTGTTGAACTGGCTTCGTACAGGGCACAGGTGGCTGCATAGCAGCGCTAATGTCAAAGACACACACATTATATTTTTATTTTACCAGGATTCAGTTATACAAATATTTGGGAAGGCTTAGCCTTCCCTAGCCTACTGCATCTGCCGCCCCTGCTTTTCCCACAATAGTTCATCAGAACTCAGATAGGCTATATTTGCGTTCACACCAAAAAGCCCCCTGAACTAAATTAGTTCATCAGAACCATTTTTACCCCCTTTTCAGTCCCTGCTAGAGAGCAGGGACTTTCGTGGGAGAAAAAGGTTCCTATGTCTGATTGGCTGGGCGGAATGCAAACCACGCCCCGTAAAACTCCCAAAAAGGTTTTTGAAGCTGCCATTTTATTTTCCTCGCATTAGCATTAGCATTAGCCCAGCTCAGAAACGCAGAGAAACTAACTTATGGCAACACAAAATCTGCTTTAGTTCATCAGAACTAAAATAGTTCTCATGAACTGAGTTCTCATGAACTATTGTGGGAAAAGAACTTGGTGTGAACGCCCCTCTAGTCTCTAGAGCAGGGGTGTCAAACTCAATTTAATCGCGGGCCACATCAGCATTAGGCCGGTTGTAACTTTAAGACTATATAAAAATACATATATATAAAATAATGTAATATATATCATTATTGCCTCTGCATTGGATTATTATCAGATATGGTAATAACATAATTAACTACGTCTGAAAGCAGAAGTCTGGGGCAAATAATTGCAAGTCTCTTCAGTGAGAATGTCACAAAATGATTTAAAAAGAACAGCCAGATTCTGGAGAAAAAGTCAAAATCAAAAAGAGAAGTGACATTTAAAAAGAAAAGTAACATTTAAAAAAAAGAGTACAATTCTGAGAAAAGGGCACATTCTAAGAAGAAAGGCATATTTAGAAGAAAAAAAGTCAAATTCTGAGAAAAAACATGTAGTTTATAGGCAACGTGCTTCTGTAAATCATCATGTAACCGTATAATAAACATATAATATTCTTTGCAAGCTCTTGTGGGGCCACAGAAAATTAAGTCACGGGCCGGATTTGGCCCCCGGGCCTTAAGTTTGACACCCCTGCTCTAGAGAGAAAATATACTAGCAGAAAATAGTTACCATGATGACAAATAATTTCCTATGAGTCAAACACAAGAGCAACATTTAATGGATGCCATGGAAATGTAAACACTTAAAGGTGGGGTAGGTAAGTTTGAGAAACCGGCTCGAGATACACTTTTTGTTATATTCCATGGAATGCTCTTAACATCCCGATAGCAATGAATATCTTAAGTGCTTTGACAAAAAAATCCATAAAAAAAATTCATCTGTAAACAGCACGACCAATCATTTTAGCCGGCCCGGCTAAAATAAGTGGATAGCCTACCTGCCTGTCAGCCTTCCATCTGTGCACAAACTTATCTCGTGCCCTCATTGGTCATGTGCGCGTTCCTGTGTGTTGGAGGAGGGGCTCTGTAAGGAAAAGTTTACAAGCGGCATAAGTTGCACTGCACTCTCAGCTCAGTCAGCACTGAGTATTTTCTTCACTTTTTAGGTATTATGGCTTCCTCAAATGCTACCACTTCCAGTAAAAGTCACTGTTTATTATAAAAAGTATATCATGGTTGCATAACTATTGCCTCATGATGTAATCAGAATCAGTCAATAATATTTTGCAACATTTTCTGATCCTGTAAAGTACCATTCTCTAGGTTTAAATGTATATCTCTAAATCAGGCACATTGACATGTTTATATACGTTTGGCTCATGTTTTAAACTCAGTGGGCAAGAATAATAATGTTTTATCTTTACCATTTTACCAATATAGACTACTTAATTCATTATAGTCATTACATTATAGATGCATGCAATTAAAATGACAATAAAACTGTCAAAACAGCCAGTAAAAATTAATAAGACTTTTTTTTTGGAAAGACCCATGGGCTGCAATGACCTACAACATTTCATCAGCTTGGTTTTGAGGTGTTGTACAGTACATTTATAGCCAAAAGCTTGTAGCTGCATTAGGTCTTAGCAGGGCTTGACTAACTGTCA